TTTGCAGCTTTATTTTTTTTGATTTGTTATATATATATATATATAAGTAGGTGACCCGCCTAACAGTAAAAAAAAAAAAGAAATAATTAAGTTTTCCAAACACATGTCAGAAAAAAACATTGAAAATTATGTTGTACAGGTTGAGATACAATATGATTAATGTATTAATCGGATTTTCATTCAAGCACCTTGTWGTAAACGACATTCTTCATTTTTTGGTCCGATGGAAAACATTAGATCTTCTAGGACGATTTTTATTAATAGTAATATCGCCCAAAACCACATAAAGCAATCGAGACAGCCTATTAAGACATTTACACTTTTATTAAACTGTAGAATAAATCTTTAACTTAATATATATTTTACACAAATTATTGTCTAAGACAAACAAATATAACAGTACCAGAACTTTCGATTTATTTTGCTTCTGAACGAACGCGTAAAATTTTTCAATCTTTTTAAAAAAAAATTCACATAAGATTTATTCACTTATTGATCAAATATGCATGAATAATTGTTTAACATGAGAGAAGTATCGAAAACTGTCACTTTTATCAAGCCCACTATTCGTGAATTTTGTAGTATTTTTTAGGATATACTCTCCTAATCGGAGCGGAGACAAATCCAACAAATTAAATACCATGAAAATTGTTCCAGCATGAAAATTGTTATGTGTTGTAACACATAACACGACTTTGTTATATATATATATATAGATGTAACAAATCAAAGTAAAATCTTTAAAGGCGATTTGATGAATATACATGCTGTCTATTATTGCAGAGCCAAAGAGCCTGTTGCCGAACTTTTGAAGACGAAAAACGATAACTCTCAGCATGGGGGTGGCTGAAGATTTCGCTCCCAGCTTTGTAAAGAAGCCACAGCTGCATCAAGAAGATGACGGTAATCGGTTGATATTTGAATGTCAGCTGCTGTCGTCCCCGAAGCCGGATATAGAGTGGTTTCGAAGTGACAATAAACTAACAGAGGATGTGAGAACCAAAATAAAAGTTCAACCCATCGGTGATAACAAATTTACGGTAGTATTAGAGCTAGACGATGTTGTAGAAACAGATGCTGGGCTTTACAAAGTGAAAGCCAAAAACAAATCGGGCGAGGTTTCTGCATCAATCAATTTGAATTTTACACGTAAGTAGACAGTAACTAAAACATTGTTTGGGAAAGCCAAATAAATATGATATCGCGATAAACGATTAAATTAGATAAGTAGAACTAATAAGAGGTCAAAAGATGTTAAATAATATAATTATATATTTTTTCTAGAGTAGTTACTTGCTCTCTTAGGTCTTTTTATTATAAATTTTACACAAT